TGTTGCGTTATAAACTGTAACTTTGTGATATTCGTGGTATAAAAATAAATATTGTACTGTTTGTCCTCTACAAATAGGTTATTGCAATGCGACTTAAAGACCTGAGAAGACTGTTTATTTTGTTGGTATTCGGAAGTGTAAGTGCTACTCTTTTGTCAGAAAGTGTTTTGAGTGGCTTTGTTCAACAGCATTTTTGTTGATGCAGGCCACTAGAATATTATTATTATTATTATTATTATTATTATTATTATTATTATTATTATTATTATTATTATTATTTATTTTTTGATGTTCATATAATCATATTAAAAATTTTATGTATAATTATATATTAATATATTACATTATTATTAATTATTACAATCATTAGCGTGTATATTCATATGAACTATATTTTCTACTATTCTGTAGTGCATCCAATTATGTAAACGTTATTATAATTATACAATTTTATTTTATTTTTATTGTTATTATTAATATTATTATTTCAACCTATTATTCATTTATATATTTTCATATTTATTTATGTATTTGAAACGACAGTTATTAATTTTTACAACTTCCAAGAATTTGTCCACCACCGAGCGCTGCGCCGTTTAATAAAACTCCCAAGCTTAAGCACCAGAGCTCGGCAAAGGGGGCGCGATAATGAAGCAGAAAACCTCGATGAAATTAAGATAGCGCTGACGTCCTCCGAGGAAGCGGCGGTGCCGTTGCGTTCTGCACGCGACGTCTCCGCGGGCGCCACGCGCCGCCTTTTTAACAGCTTGCACGGGTTCCTTAAAACGGCCCCGCGGAGAAAAAAAGGCAGTGTTTGTGGGGGAATTTTCTTTTTTCGTTTATCAACTGCGGTTATCAGATCATTTTGGTGCCATAATGAGCTGTAGGGACAAAAGAACTTTATTGATTTCTTTCAAAATGTTTCCGAACTGCATATGCGTTCACTAAGATTTTCTACACGTTTTAAGAACAAAATTTGCAATACATGCCGGTGGGGAGTTTTCAGATCGAAACGATAAAATTGGACCATTAGGACATTTATTGCATTACGTCATTGAACTTTGCACGAGATGAAGTGGACGGAAAAATCCTTTTGTATTTAATTTAGTCTTTAAAATGAAGATAAGTGATATTAGTGTCGCCAGGAATAGTTTCTTCTTTCGTCTTTCATAATAGTTACTTGATTATTAGTAAACGAGAAGAAGTTATAAAGAGATCGCCATATTGTACTTTCTCTTACACGGTTACTTTAGTGATAGTTTATACCAGATTCCTTGAATTAACGAGTTATATTAAATAAGTTTAAATATTTTTGTTTTGTGTAACAATAATTCAGAGGAAATACGTTCCTTTTTTCTTTGCTAGATATACAAAACCCAAGTAGAAGTTTTCATTAGGCAACAATTTTCTTAAAATAAAATTCGCTACCTATTTCATACTCATTTTACGAATATTATCTAGAATATATAGAATGATCCGATTCAGGAAGAAGTGATATATGCCCACAGAAATATTTTTACGTGTATACGATTGTATTTAACTTATAGTCAAGATCATTGGCTTCTTTATAATTCTTTCGAATTGCGTACATACATTTTCAAAGAAGATTATATATTTTTAACACGAGAACATCTGTAAGCATATTGTGAGTAATTATCAAATGTGTAATTTAAACATCATTATGCATAAAACGGCATCGAATCTCAGTAATTTAATATATATTTCAGTACTGATACCTACAAGGCAGGGGTATCCTTTACACAAATCATTTTTTATAGGGACATTTTATAAGACGCCAGCCACCGCAAAAATCTCTCTCAGCCTCCGAAGTATCGCTTCTAGCATTTGATGGAGATAGTGCATTATTTTGCAATGCCCTTCACACAATTTAATATACAGTTATAAGGATGGTTAGAATTTTGGAAGGAATCAACAATTTATCCTAATCCGATATTAATATATTCCAAACTCGAAGAAATGTTTTCAACTATTATCCACTTTACTTACTCCCGTTGCTGACTGACCGAAACGTAGGAAGAGGTGATGAAATGACATCACTCATTCAACCAGCTTAGAAGGCTCAGGGCATCAATTGATTTCACTGCAGGGCCTCGGACAGGGCGGTACTACTGTTCGCATCCCGACGGTGACAGGGTTTCCGACATTAGCTACATAGCTACATGGAATTCCGCCGCTGTCTGGAGGAGAATGCTAGCTGCCGGCTGCTCCGATTGGTAGGTTTCCATGATTTCTCTGATCATATGAAGCGAATACGGGAGCAGGTACCAAACAAACGGGCAAAGGCCCATGTGCGATCTCTCCTTCCCCTTCATTTCCTGACCTAATCTTACTTACACATACATGTACATGCACCTCACGACCACACATACCGGAAAACCAGTTGGAAGACTAGTGAGGGCGATACCTCGATGGTGGGAGATACCTGTTTTGGGAAAACCTCGCAAGCCCACGGGTAGGTCGGTGTCGTATCTCGTTATCCAGCGGGGGAACATCGCAGACTACTGTAGCGATAAAACATACACTGCACTTACGAGACCTATGACATTAGCAGTCGCTTAGAATCACTAACCTATCAATCATTCATCCGGTTAGGCCGTCTGCATTTGGGGATTTGTGATCGCTTCCCGCAAGGAGCACTCACGTGAACCCAAATGAGCAGGTTTTCTTCTCGCTTGTTATTTGCCACTTTCATGTTAAATGGCAGCAATGCGACTTGTAATGGCATCCGCTGTGTGCAAGAAATTTGGCTACCCTTAATCAAGTATACTCGCAGAAAAGTCACAATCCGTACGATCAGGGGATCTGGGATTTCGGGACAATCTGTGTTTGAGGAGTTTTTCATCGCGGAATACGCGTAGATTCGGCAGGATCTCCTGCAATGAGTGGGACAGATTTTACTGTGAGATGTCTGGAGTGCAACAATTGAATTAAGACGCCTTATTTATGAATATGCCGATGCCTAAGAAATGTCTTATGACCATATCTGCAATATATTAAATATTTCATTGATTTCAAAGTAATATGAATGATGATCATGGGTAGAATGAGAAGCAGTATGAAACAAAAACCTCGAGGACTCGTTTTATTCACAAAAAATCCCACACTCCCACACTGAATTTGAACCTCGGTCTCAGCAGTGGAAACCAAGCGACCTGAACGCTACACAAGTTGCCCCCGGTCGCCGGGATTGAATGACTAAGTATTTAATGATTTCTGCTGCGACAACTTCTATTGTCTTTAGTTACGTAAGTGTAGTGCATATATCCCGAGAAGTGGCCGTTTTCTTCACCTGTTGGCACCCGAGATACGACACCGCCCGATGCAAGTTGGCTTGCATGGCCATCACTCCCCAGGTATTTCAGGGAGTGACACCGAGCCGAGCTCTAAGCCCCGACAGGACTCCACACAAGGGTGGCAGGGTAAGGTAACTTCTTGGCTGTCCGGGTGACGCCGCGTCGTTGGCTGAGAGGCCGACGTTTCGCCTGTCATATCGCAGTCTTTACCAGGGTGCGGCGTCACCCGGACAGCCAAGAAGTCATGAACTCGAGCCGCGGAAGCTTACGTGTACGAGTATATGTGTCTGTAGAGGGGGACAAAGATAAGAAAATAATGCGCGGTCTGTGGCCCGTGCGTTAAGGTACTGTTCCAGTTCTTTCGGAGCATTGATACGAGAATTTTCATAGTCGGAGAAAGCACAGAAAACTACCGATCAGAGCATTCAACCGCTACAATTCTCCTCCAGACAGTCATTGAAAGTAGCTAGTATGGGATGTATGAAGTTACAGTCGAACAATCGGTACCATTGGGGCTCGACCCCACGGACCTCTCGGGCGCGCTAAAGGCGGATAGAGTGGCAATTCTTCTACTGAGTCATTGCAGCCGGAACGTAAGCATCGAGGAAGATACCAGGTAGTATCTTCAGGTAGTAGTGCGTCAGTTTTTGCCGATTTTTGTGGTAAAAAAGCACGCATTATTTCGGAAAAAATCATTTTTTAGTTATTCAAAATATTGACCTTAGGATTTTACACACTTTGTCCATCTTTCAGGTAAGTTATGCATACTATGCTATAAAAATGATTGGCTTATGCGGTAAATCATTCGTCGAGCCCTTTTTCAACTTTCTCGAAATTGCTGAAGTGCTGCTCGGCGAGCGCGTGTCCCATTGATGCGAAGAAGTAATAGTAAGATGGCGGTAGGTTGGGGGAGTGCGGCGGGGGCGGAAGGATGTCCCACCCAAGCGATTTCAAGGTGTCTTTCACTGGTTTTTCTGCGTGAGACGGTGCATTGTTGTGCATTTTCCGTTTATTAAAATCGCGTGGGATAATTTACCGAGTTAATTGATCTTCCCCATAGCTCGTAAATGTCTGCTGATTGTTTTTTGTTACAAATTTAAAGCTTTTATAAATTAATATTGAGTTCGAGTTGGATTATCATCTAATAACTCCTGTAATTAGCACTTTTGTGGTCTACCAGAGGGCGCACTGTTTTTGACATTGGAATTATCTCGTAAAAACCATGTCTCACATGTTCTACTCGTAATAGCTGGAGTGTGTTCACCATGTTTTTCTATCAGTAAACGATGACTTTCCACAACGTCATATGGCGATTATTTTGATTAAATAAGAAAACGTATGCGCGCCCCAAATGTTCATATTCAGGCTCAAACGTTGACATGATCACTGAACAATACAACACAGACGCTAGTGTTTGGCGGATTGAACTTGTGTGTATCGGTAGGTTAATGTGAGAGGGACAAACTGACGCAGTGTCAAATTCATTCGCTGCGACCTGTTAGCTGGATCCATCACTTAGTGAAACCGGAAAAGTCTTACGCATCCACCTGGCACATGTCGAGAGAGCGTCGCAGCGAAGCCCGGAAGCCGCCCAGGGAAGGCTCGTCGGCCGAGAGAGATTTCCGCGGCGCTCGGCCCCTTTCAGAGCGCGCTCTCTGCGTCCCGGCGGCCGGGGCGGGGCTCACCTAGTTCCTTGGTGCCGTGCGGTAGGACGGAGACGTTCCAGTCGAATCCGCCGAAGGTGAAGTAGGTGGACTCGAACTTCTGCTGGCTGCCCTTGCCCGAGCACGAGCCCGGCGCGGCGGCGGCCGCCGAGCCGCCGTGGTGGTGGCGGTGGCGGTGGTGCGACGAGTGCAGCGACGAGAAGAACGACTGTGGCACCCGGAACTCCGTGTCGAACACCGTCCGCACGTGGCCCATCGTCAGCTCCAGCTGAGACGCGACAACAAAGCGTTAATTTATTTTTCTTCGCTTGCATCACACTATAAGGGTTGGGGAAGAAGTAATGGCATATATGTTTTTCTAAAAGAAATGTTATCGAAACGCACAATTTCATTTGTAGTGTGAAAGAAATGCTGTAGTAGCAATTGTTCAAAACCACAGAGATACTCAAATGGCTCTGTGAGTATCTACTAGCACAAAGAACAACGTGAAATCAGTTGTTTATGATAAAACGCGTACATATAAAATGCTTTGGTGAAACCGGTATTGTCGTTTAAAATACCTTAATAAATATGAGAAAAAACGTTTTGGTGCGTTGTTAAATGTTACGCACTTAGTATATACCTTGTGCTTTCATGTGTATATTTCACATTTTCCACCCGTGCTCGTATTCTCAAAAAAAATGTTTGCTGTGACTTATGCCCCAACCCTTACATAAAGCGAAACTTTTCAAAATTCAGAGAAGATTCGTCATTCCTGTTATTTATTTCATGGCCTCCTATTAACTACTAAATATAGATTTTGTAACAAGTATTTTCTAGTAATCAAGAGTCATTCTTAACTACTAGCACCCATCTGTTATTTTTTCCATGATTAATACTTCAATTTATTTAATATTTAATCAACAATTAGAGTACATCAGATTTTTCACGAATTCGATAACAAATAAGAATTTCCTATCGTAACATTTTATTTCTAAAAACATTTTTATGCCATAAAACATTTATTTTTAATGCCATTAAAACATTGCGGTTTCTGCCGACAAGTGCGGTCGCTTTATCTTCATAGATGACCGAGAATATTTTTAAATGTGCTTGACATTCCTTATTATTTATATATAGCGCATAAAATGACCAATAATGCCTGGTGAGACCTTGTTCTCGCCAAAACGATTTCTAAAATGCTAACTAGGAATGTAAATACTATATATGATAATCGCTTTATTCTGAATCTAGTAGTTTGGGGTGTAGCTATATTGAAGATGCTGTGCCTTTAGTTTGTAGATGTATACGTTATGATTTAATCCAATTCCATTCATTGATATGGACAAAGAACAAATTTATTTATTCTAACGTTGTTACTTATTTTAGATTTTACAAGTAACGCACAATTCCGTAATAAAGCAATTAGCAAAGAATGTCTTTTTTTGCAAGAGAGAACCTTAAAGCCCTGAAGGTATTAAAAATAAATCCTCCCACTCACATGTTTTTCTCTATTTTTTGTTCTTCGAAGAACTATACAAACACTAATGAATAGAATAAATAGAATGACGTTGATATTATTGGGATGAATCACTTGACATTTTAATTAAGAATACAATTTATAGTGTTGTTTAGAGTTTTATTATTTTAAATGTTACGCCTAACAATCAGTAAATAATATGACACATAACGCATACCATCTGAAACCATAAATCATAAGCATAACCAATGAGATAATATATTTATTTTATCTATTTAGTGTAATAAGAAGTGCCTTAAAATATTTTTTGAGAGGAATTAAAGTAGGAAATTCAAATATTAAAATAATGAGGAAAAACACGGACAAACGTATCTTCTTCATTTAAAGAACTCATTTTCCAATTTTTAGCACAGCGTCCAGATTGATAGGCAACTCATCCTGCATTCGTGTTTGGCAGATCCAGATTCTGATTCAGTCACGAGATTTCGTATTCTACCTGCCATACATCAGTGCAATAATACCAAACGGAGAGGACTCTAGTATCTACGACTGTTAATATTATTAGATGTCAATACTGCAAACTTACTCTGAGTTGTTTGCTCGATTGCTGAAATCTCACCTGAAACTCGCCGTTGGTGTCGGTGAAGTTGCGCGCGTAGAGGTCGGAGACGGGGATGTAGTTGCGGTTGCCCTGCGCGGGGGCGTCGGCGGAGAACTTCACCTGCTTGCCCGAGAAGGCCTCGTTCACGCTGAAGTGCTCGCGGTTGAGCAGCGTGAACGTGAAGTCCACGTACACGCGCATGCCCTCCGACGGGTTGCGCCACACCAGGTACACGCCCAGCACCTGCGCAGCACGGAGCAAACAGCTCTACACGCGCCCTCTACATCTCTACACGCGCCTTCATTACGAAAATCGACGGTGGGCACTAATACACGAGTGTGATATTACGACACGAGCGAGGATCGTCAACTTCACACGAGTGTATTAATACCCATTAAATCGAGTTTCATAAGGTACTTTTTCTACGACTTATGGTAACTTTTACATGTTAAACTTCTACACAGAGCTGCCCGCTAGGTGGCCCTCGCTGAACCCCGCATGTCAACTGCCATGAAACGATTCAAAGTTAAATGTGTACATTGAATCGTTTCATGGCAGTTGACATGCAGGATTCAGCGAAGGCCACCAAGCGGACAGCTCACTACCCTGCCGCAGGCTATGGCTTTGATTTACCACTGCTTACACCAGACCTGTCTTTAGTTTACCACTGCGCTAGTCAAATAGGGTGTAAGTGAAACTACAATCCATTTTATTTTCAATAACATACCACATTAAAATTACTAATAATAAAACGAATCTAAAACTGTCAAGCATAATATAATATTAAGTGGAATTTTCATGAACACAATCGAACGAAACATTTACTACAACGATTCTCAGTGATTAATTGTCACTACTTGGTTTGTAAACTTCTCTGTGATTGATCAAGATTCTGTATCGTAATGAAATCTGTATCTTAATGAGTATAACTATGCAACCGTTTATAGACATTAATTGACAGAATTGTACAATTGGAGTGGAAAAAAAATATCTTCGAAATTATGAGCGGCTCAGCGCAACAGATGTTACTGCAGTGCCTCTGAGCGGGATGTTCGAGTGTTCGAGATGCGACTGTGACAGGATTTTCGAACCTAGCTGAATTCAGTCACTCTCTAGAGCAACGGAACTCGCGTGATTTTTCCTTCCTCTTCCTTCTTCTGTCCTCACACTTTACTTACACACGTGCATGCTCTACGCTACCAAACATGTCAAATAACTCGTCGAGGGATTAGAGCTTGCCCCTGCTAGGGCTTTTCATTCATTGGTTGATTGATTGACAGAGCGTCAACTGCCAATGTAATTCGTCCCGTAAGTGTAGGGCCTGTTTAACACGCGGGGTGGCGCTGATCTTAGCCGCTGAATAGTGAGATCCGGTTCCGAAACATATTGTTTTGTGGCGATTTTTCCTAACCAGTTTTCTCCCACTAGCGTGGCACCGACTCAGCTGGGACAAGTTGTGAGCTTCCAAACGGTCTCCCAAACAGTTTGACAGTGTAGTGCATGTGAGTGTACTCGCACGTGTGTTTAAATAAGGAGTGGTGATTGAACAAGTAAAAGGAAGAAGATATATTAGTGATTACAATTATATATTATATTAGAATTTTAATGGAACTTCGAATTCATAATAGATTCTTAGAAGCATGATCATAACGGAGAACGCTGACCTCGCATACTCACTCTGGACTTTATCTAGGAAAACGTCATTTGATTCTTCAAATTCTGTGGTTCTCGAATCACCTGATTTCTTTCATTCTAAAAGCAAACAACCTATTCGAAACTACTCGAATACGAAGTGCCTTCAACTAGAAATGGTGCTCTATCACTTTGTAATTCAAAACAAACAATAATAATAAAATAATAATAATAATAATAATAGTAATAATAATAGTAACAATAATAATAATAATAATAATAATAATAATAATAATAATAATAATAATAATAATAAAATCTTCAAAATCTATCCTTTGATTGTGTGAATTCTTTCGCCTCCTAAAAAGAAGAGAAAGTTAGTTACCAAGCAATTCGTTTTCGTTTTTACTTCTACAGTTATAATATAATTGTAGGAACGAAATATAGTTTCCATTGTAAAACGTTACCTTGCTGCATAAGAAAATGTAAAATAAAAATAGTTTCCGTTGTAATAATAAAAATAAAATTGTTTCAGCGAAAAATGTTGTTGGTGCAGAACGGTCCTTCCAACCGTGTTTACCCAATTTTTGTACTTGAATATTCATCATAAACGTTTCACAAAACGAAACACGAGTAAATGATGCCGGAGGGGTTTCTAGTGCGTTTATTCACAAGAGCTCTTGATGTTCAACACGCTATTCACATTAAAGAGGCAAACATTTCACAGAGCGGTCGATGTATTGTACTACGTGTAAACGGCAGCGAGAGAAGAGAAAATTGAAAGAGCCATTCAAGCTGGAAAATGTTTTCGATCGCGCTAGTATGTTTCAATTCGTCATCTACCCTCCCTGAAAGAATTCTTTTGTGGTTTACCATTCATAAAATCAAATTTGAATGAGTTAAAAAGTTCAGAAAATTATTTTGTGGTTTACCACAAAATAAACGTCATGTTTGAATGCGTTAAAACGTTCAGAAAATGAACTTTATGGCTCAATTAATGTTTTTAACAACATTAAATGTAAGGACTGTCCTTTTTTATTATTTGTTGTAACACGCATTCGCACGAATAGAAAATAACATGAAAATAATATTAACTCTCAGCGCTCTTATTAATAACTATAATATTACCCTTCACAATATCAATGGGTCACATTTGCCCGAAGAAATGTAACATTTATTCAATTAAGAAATTTTCGCATCTACAACACGCAGGATGTTATCCCACTATACTTTACGAAAATAGGTGACATCTTGCTTTTAAGACTGTCTACAGATACCAACAATGTGCAAACGAATACGATTTTTACTTCATAAAATGGTGATTAGGGAACGATAATTTAGTGATAATCTTTCTTGGTATAGTGCCTTTGACAGATGACGATCTATACACCGTGTGTTATGAAAACTAATATAACTTCATGGTTCAATTTTATTTATTAAAGGTTCATAAATGTTGTTAGTTATACGCACTGTCCTATCAACTCTTTTTAAAACACTCATTCTTCTTTTTTCGGTATTGTGATATAATTTTGCCTCTGTGCTCAATATTTTATTAAATGGGTCACGTTGTTGGTAATCAAGCCTGCCTTTCACACACCATACACGTGTTTTTGTGCAGTGAACTTTTGACAAATATTATTGTAGGTTTTTGGAGGCTTTTACCACAGTATTGTAAAAATATTTGATGAGTTCTCGTGGGAAAGTACATAAGTCTAAAAAATAGTTTTTGTTCATGTACTTGCACGTACAAGCTGTCGCTCATGGCATACTAAGTGCTTAAGACGAAGTATTGTTTCGATTATCTTCCAAGGTTTCCTCAGGATGGCATTAGTTATAAGTCCTTGCGGCTTGTGAAAGAGAAGCACGTATGTCCATATCCGTATTGTGCCTAGTTACGACCCTTTTGTTGTGGATGAATCTTTTCCTATACGAAAACCAGTAATTAGGTAAAATGGCATTGAAACATCCTAAATAAGAAGTACAAGAATTTTTACCACAAAATTTGTAGATAATTTAGTATTTTGAAACATTTGTTAATGTTCTTGAACATTCATTTGTTCAGTGACACAATGATAATTAAGCTAATAAATATTTCAAACAAGATTTTTCAAATAGTTTTTTGTTGTTCCTATAAAATATTCTTTTATCTCTAGTGTTTACCCGGGGAAGCTGACAGTTAAATAGTTAAATCAGATTTTTCATTCCCTTGTATTGGCACAGTGTTTCCCAGAGAAGTGCGTCATGCTACCCTTATCAATGGTACACAAAAGGCACAATTGAAGTACAATGATCCAGTGCACTGTGAGAATCTTATGAAGAAATATATTTTCGGGCACACTTTCACAGGATCATTCCTTCTTCAATTCCATTCGAAGGCCACCTAGGTGTACTTACAGAGTTCAGTTTCAGATGTAGTATAAGCATAAGAGAGTCGGGATCAATTTTCCTTGCTCCTTGGAAAGGAACTCACCTTGTCAGTGCGCGAGAAGGTGATGGCCCAGCGCTGAAATCCGCAAGCGAACTCCTTGCTGGTGACATCTCGCTCCAGATCACGCGTCACCGATTTCGTCACCACGAAAGTGAAGACGTGCGTGTTGGCACGGTCATGGAGCTTGGCGAAACGAAAGAGCAGCGACATGATGGTGGGCGACTACTTCACTGCATCTGCAAAATACGGAAATAAAGTTCACACTTGTTACAGTAACACAATTTTGAACATGGGAAGTGAAAGCATGACTTTTTGAAAGGGATTTTCACATCGGAAGCCCCAAGGGAATGTAGGGATCCTCGGGTCTAAGGTCTTTATCACTGAAAGCGAACTTTCAATTTTCCAAGTACCTTTAGTTCTCTAACTCTCGTGTTTTTGGAAACAGAGTACTTCTCTAGCTTCTCCCTCGACCTCCTCCGCGATCATCGAGGCATCTTCATCGTGCGGTAATCTATTACATTGTTCCATGCGTATTATAGATGTGATGGATTTTATAAACTATGCCCGCGCGCGCGGCTGTACTGTGCTGTACTTACACGCACCTTATGTTCTACCAGGGAAAATTCTCTCCGTAATGGGCACCTGAGCATTAGCCTCTTCTCTCACCCCCCCCCCACAGACGCACAAGTACAACCTTGGGCTGGTATCTGGGTTTCAAAAAGAACGCAGTCGACCCTCACGGGAACCTCCCCGTACAATGCCTGGGCCAGGCCTCCTTGCCAGCTCAGAGCTACTGACTTCCCAGGCCAGTAAAGAATGCGCCGGGACAAGTCCCTCCTCTAGGCTCAGAGTGTCGATCCACTTCCACGACGAACCCAAGTGCCAATCTGAGGGCCACCCGGGCCAAGGCCTCGGGACCCAACCAGTCTCCTCACTGCCTCCACCTTGAAGGTATCGACGTGAGTACAGCCAGAACCTAGATAACCTGAGAGGAGGTTCACGATGCCCGTCTGGAATTTTACATTGGGATCTGGAGCATTCCGAGGAAAGTCGTTCACCCAATCCCGTACGAAAGTCGTTGCACTAGAGACCCAAGTAGTGGGTCACCTGTCGAAACCGGCAACACTAAGCCTAGCATTGCCTACTCACTGCATCTACCTTGAATATAACAACGTAAGTGCCGCTGAGAGACTCAGGTACCAGGTGGACGTCTCCGCCTCCCCCTAATTCCTTGGGAGGGGTGTCTGGCGCATCATATCCGACTTCAGTCAATGAGCTTCGTACACCAGTTTGCGTCACAATATTTGCGAGAATCTTAAAATCAGCCGGTTACCAAAATTAGCAACTTGTTACAAGTAATTTAAACATATTTATGAAGAATTTCTTTTAAATATTGCATCTTGAACATTTACATCGTGTTATTTTTGGTTAGTTACAGTTTAAAATTGCTACTTTGTACTACTTTTAAAATGTTTCTCATCACCTCTTGCTCTCCACGCAACATGGCGGCCAACGTCAGGTGTGGTTTTTCAAACGAAGTGCCCGTGCTGCGGTCACGTGGTTCGTGACGGAAACTGGTGTTGCACAGAACGTGCAAAAATCGATGCGCCGGAGTAAATCACCCATGCCTAGTTCCTCAGGTCTAGCGACTGTGCGCCTCTTCCCCCACCTCTTGCGGGGGGGGGGGGCACGCGCGGCGGGGCGGCGTGCGCATGGAAGGCAGCCACCGTAACGGAGCTGCGACGCGGGACGCTGGCTCGACGTCGCCGCCACTATTAAAGGGGCCTGCGAGCGCTGGAGAGCAAATTACGACTTGAGCCAAGAAGTGAAGTATCTAGTGCTGTGGTACGCGACTTGTGTCGGTGACGTTGTTAACGCCGTTGTAGTTACGCTCTTTGACTTTCTACTGGAGATATTGTGATTTTGGCTACGACTTAGGACTTGTGGCGAATGGTTACAGCCGAGTGAGCTTGGCATTGTCTACTGATTTTCTGGCGACAAGTGGAAGAGCTGACTGGATACTAAAAATTATTGTACCTTCAGTTACAATAAAAATATTATTAATTATACCTGGTGTATCCATTATTCTGTATTCTTCAATGCGTTTCACTTAAACCAACCATAATTTGAAAACTCATTGTATGTGATGGCATGAGCAGCGAGTCCACAGTCTTACAGTATAAATATTGGGCAACTAACCTGTTGTACTATTCTGTGCTACTACTCTTGTGGTTTGGGCCTAGAAAGCAATAAAAATAATAAGTGCATTTCCGCTGGCTTATGAATCCGACTAATGCTTCCTCACCATCAGCAAAGTTTAGAAATTAAGTATAAAAAAGAGACCTTACAGAAATAAATTGTTCAAGGCCAAGAATATTTAGTTAAGAAGTAAAATTAAGAAAAGCAAGATTTTAAAAAAATAAATCTTATGCAGTTTCGATGGCCATCATCATCATCATCATCATCATCATCATCATCATTTGTAATCACCATAATAACAAAGGTGGTACACAATTTTAAATTAGAGGAGAAAAAGAGAAACGTGATATTCATTAGAATAAATTAACTGTACCGTTGGTCACGGTGACGAATATATTTGAATCATGTGTTGTTGTTTTTATGTTTGCAGATAAAGGTAATTTCCCCTCCCATCTCCAAGAAATAATGATAAATTTAATTCCCTACCCTGTACAGGAGGGGCTTCAGCCCACGATCCTAATGTAAGTTTTCCAGTGTCAATGCAGCTCGTGTAACAAATATTAGGTTAAAATGTAAACTGATTTGGAATATTAAATAATAGATATAAGAATAATTATAATACTGAGAGAGGCTTGACGGAACGGTGGGCGGGATCAGAACACGCTATAATACGCAACGGATGCCAGATCCTCTTGATGTACGTCTTGGCCATGGAGAGCTGCTTCGGTCGAAGAGGGATCGAAACGGAGCAGAACGTCTCTTGTGTGCGAGATGTTGAAGGAACCTCGCGCAGTAAGACACGTCCTGTTCCATCCCGTCGCCCCGGTTCAAGCTGCGCCACTCGCTGGTCCATACAGGTTTCAGTGCTTCTCAGGACTATTTCGACTTTCTCTCTCTTTCTACACAAGACATATACACACACTGTATACCGCAAATAACTTTCTCTCACACGTGTAGTTAGAATTCATATTTTTGGGCACATATGATTTGGGCAAATCGATTATCGACAAAATGTCAGCTGTGATGAACGTTAGGGCGTATACCGCTCAACCAATTTTCTTCACTATTGATATTTCAATTATGCTTAATACTTCACACGTAAAAAATCTGATTAAGTTGAAGTTAATATTTGGTCCCATAACAAATTGTAACATATTTGGGAATTTCAATAACAGCTGAAAATGGTGGCGTCTTAAGAAAATCAAGTCCACTCAAAAGATGCCAAATACCAAAAGTATTGTGCATTGAGGAAAGGATATACGCTCTGTTAGAGACATTTTTAATGAAGTAAGGCAATAAATGAAGTTCGAATATTTGGCTACCTCAGAAGGGCATCTTCCTAGAATGAGTTTTACTATACGAAGGGAAGTGAGGGAAACATTTCATAAGTAAAGATTCATTATCTTTTGATTTTTGAAACAGTCGCATAGTTTGATTCTCGCAATAGTATCACAGTTGATGTACACTTCAGAATAATGTTTTGTGGTTTTCTTTTATTATTACCCAAATGTAAGATTTCAAAATGAAACACAAAATAAGAAAGGAATTTGCTTTCAAATTCACTGAGTTAAATTAAATTGTTTTAAAGCAGAAATAGAAAAATAAAAGTGACTAGGAATGATTAAATAATACTGTATGTTATGTAATACTATTAACATGATCAGTGTAACATTATCTGTGAAATTGTCTATAAATATGAAATCATAACAAAGAATTTACTTCATTCCCATTTTTAAAATCACATGGCAACATAGTCCATTGTTTAGGCTACTCCAGCCGCTAGAAGTCAACGAAAAATTTTGTAATGTGAATATTTACCTCAGAATAATTCAAAATTTCTGTTTACGATTTCATAAACTTTAGACGTAAGCGCTTATCAAATATTTTATCACCATTCGTTATTGCGGCTGGAAGGAATTGTGTCGATTTACAACTCTCGACGAATATTTTGTCAAATTGTTGACTTCGGTCAGTGTAAATATTTGTGGCAATTTATTGTGTGCAAGTAAGAAAAAGGCATCAACATGACTGGATTGGTGAGTAAATATCAACCACCTAAATGTATGAAAATCGCACATAAACGCAGAAGGAGCTTATGATTATGTGAACATTCTTTTATCGGATATGAATAACATATGTGACCATAGAAAATAAAATTATGAAGTATATTATCTAGGATTTAATAAAAAATATTACAAACAATATCTTACAAATTAAACAAATGGTGTATTTCTTTTTATATTAAGCATTTTTTACTATTTTCCTATTCAAATAATGTACCATGCCCTCGTCTTTTCTTTTTTTTTCAAGGAATAATATACACACAACACACACAAAGATGCGATATCTCTTCAGAGGAAACACAATTCAATGGTCGAGGATGTGGCAAACTAACCCTCCTTTTCGAAACTATAAACATAAGAGTACAAGTTACTCTGTATTGAAAACTACAAGGACTGACTATTCTTTGTAACATTTTCTTCCTTCTAGAGATAAATTAGCAACCCCTTTATTTTTCACTGAGAACAACGAAAGGCACTCGCAAGTCTGCGGGCAACGAACTATTAGTGTTGGGGATGAAATATGATGGTAGAGCACTTTGACCTCTTGCGCAGCATATTTTATATTTTTCGGAGTCGTGTAAACCCAATATATTTTGGAAACTAAGAATAGAAGGTTGTAGGCACGCTCATCGAATCCTCCAAATAAATTATTTATTTACTATTAGCAAGTATAAAGACAAAAAATAGGAGAATTATCTTTCTTTTCTTCTTTATTTCTTTAATGAAATAATTGTTTGAAACCACTACTTGTTGTGTTGCACGCAACCTGAGCATTTATATTTTTACTTTAGAACCTCGATTAATGATGTTAATCTCGGGGGGATTCGGACGTTTATTACTAATTATGTATAACAAATTCTAAATAATATATCGTTTATGAAGATCTTTAGGGGAAATTACTCACAAAAAATAGAAAGTTGCAATAATCTACATAAAGCTGTCTATAAAATATAGAACCAATTTTCATCAAAACTTACATTATTGCTTTTCAACAATATATACAGAATTAAATCGTGACTTCAGGTTCCACAGACCAGCGTGGAAAACCCGCAGCCTACGTGGAATGGCTGCCGTGGAAATTTCGCGTCACGCCCCCTGGATCGACGTCTTCGCTCCCTTGCTTTTGATTATCGGATGAGGAAAACTGTCACTAAGCACAGAGTCGTAGTGGACGCTGCGGTGTGAACGGTCCCGGGAATTCCGCCACCGCGTCTAGCGTGGAGCGTTCCGCGCCGCAACTGCTGCGGATCTCCCGCGCCGGTCTGTGAGAACCTTCCCGCAGAACATTTCGCCCTCGGGGAGGTCGCAGAATGAAGGGCGAAACGTTGGCTACTGTGCTTAGGACGTGGCGTCTCCCAGTCTGGCAACTAGCAACACACTCTCTAACACTGACTATCTCATTCACTCGCCCAGGCATTCACTCGCGCACTCATGCAAGCACTCACCCGCATACCCATTCACACAATTTCTCACTCATTCACTCACACATGCAGTCACTACCATGCTTAAGTACTCACTCACGCATTCACTCGCACATTCAGTAACTCACACAGTCATTCACTCACGCACTCACTCATCCACTCATTCACTCACTCACTCCGTACGTCTCCCCCCTGCAGGACAAGGAAGGCAACCCGAAGGTGCTGAGCATCGAGCCGGCGGACATCCCGTGCGGCGCGGTGCACTACCGCGAGGAAGGGCGGCACTGCGCGCTGCGCGGCCGCTTCCCGCGCGCGCTGGCCGACTTCGACATCGCCGGCGGCGTGGACGACCGCGACTGGCGCACCGTGGTGATGCGCGCGCGCACCGCCCTGCGCGCCAGCCGCTTCGACGAGGCGCTGGCCGGCGCGCGCCGCGCCCTCGACGAGGACCACGAGGACATCGACGCACTGCTCATCGAGGCGCAGGCGCTCTACAACCTCGGCGAGTTCGAGAAGGCGCTCATGATCGCGCACCGCGGCTGGAAGAAGCGCAAGACCCCGCCAGAGTTCGCGGAAGTTATATTCGCGGTGGGTGCAAACGCTTCGCTTTCAATGAGCCAATTGATGCGTTATTTACTCGTGGGTGGTTTAATTAACATTCTAAATTGGTTTGCTTAATATCACTGAACCAACGCACCTGACATTCGACTGACAATACTTGGCCGGCAACATTTAACTACCCATATTCCAATGATGACATTCCACTGCCTACGTTTGACTGCCGACTTTCCACCGACGATATTCCACAGGGCTTCTGTCCTAAGTCAACGTGTATCTCGTTGTAGAAATGAAGAGTATGAATAGGTAGATTGGCAGGAGAGGTACATTATATTATTACACAATAGGCCCACTGTGAAACCCATTATGTTGGAGTAACTCTACTTGATCTACGAAATGGAGGATCTGCTAAAGTCTTAACCTAAAGACCAACCATTTCGGCAATTTTACTATTGATGTAGAACGGTTCATTTGCAGTAATTCCAATTTCACCTTTCAGTCTAATAACACAGGCAATTGAGATGATATTCCAATAGTATGAGTAATTAAATGTTATTCCTGACACGCACAAGACTTTGGCCTTAATTGTGTATACTCGTACTTCCAGGCAAAACAGACTATGGCATTGCACTAACATTTCAATGCTGTAATCATCATGGTAGGCGGAAGACACCAACTGTACGTTGTTCTTGGCCGAGGAGAGATGATTGAGGAATCGATGTTCGGCCTATCATACTGGAGTCCCGCGACCTCATCTAAGTGATGGAGGAACTGGTGACGATATATTAGACATGAAAGCCGCCAAGAATGTTCACGAGATTACTTTTGCGGTAGAGCAGGTTTCATCTGCGGTTCATCAATACCAATTTCACTCTTCGGTCTGATATTTAACGACGACACCGTACCAACATTCCTAACTCTGTTTGGCAAGGCAGGCCAAAGACAATGATGTTAATTGTCCGTATTTCATGCTTACTCAACCGAGGGAAAACACACCATCATTATAACAACACCCCAATGCTGTGTCCTCATGGAAGGCGGAAGAGACACCAACCCAACCGTCCATCGTTATTGCCAGAATGAGGTGATACCAAATCTAATCGCCCGTTGTTGGTGCAGGCCGATACACCATCCCTAATCGTTCATTGTTGTTGGCAGACCGAGGAGACATTCCCAATTGTCCATTGTTAGCAGGCCGACAATACACAAACCTAATCGCCCATTGTTGTCGGCTGGCAGATACATCAACCCAACCGTCGATTGTTGGCAGGTCGAATATAACCATCCTAATCGTGCATTGCTGTTGGTATTCCAACCTAATCGTCCACGGTTGTTTGCAGGCCGAGGCGACACCAACTAACCGTCGATTGTTGTTGGCAGGCCGAGGAGACGATCGAGGACTGCATCGGGCGCAACGTGGGGCCCATCATGCTGGAGTTCCTCGACCTCATCTACGCGATGGAGAAGGAACGCGAAGAGGAGGAGACGCTGGCGAGCCAGCGGCGCGACGACCCCTGCGTCTTCCCGGAGGACCAGGAGGGCGGCGACGCCCAGGGCGGCACGTCGGCGCAGCGCCACTGCCGCGCGCGCCTGCAGGCCTACATGTGCTCCAAGTACCTGGGCCGCCTGTGCGCAGACAAGCGCTTCCTCGAGCGCATCAACAACCCGGCCGCCATGCTGGGGCCCAACCAGAAGTGCATTGACAAGCTGCTGGCGGAGGTCCGCGAGGGCATCGAGTTCCTGCAGAAGCGACAGGTGCGCCACCGCCGTTCACTCGCTATACGCGCTGCAACTTGCTTTTTGTTCTTGCAGATCTGGCTCAGTTTAAGTGCAGTTAAACTTCGATTTGCGCTTAAATAAACATATCATTATTTTAATTTATAGGTTAAGTTTTACAGAAACGCCCGGTGAGCGAGCATTTAAAATAGATGTTCACCTGGACCAAGAGGTTCAAAGTTTATTTAATACCTTTAGCAGGAATGGAAGTCCGGTAAACATGTCTAACGTGAACCTTCTACTGTCTTTAAATTATTAAAAATCAGGTTTAAACTTTGTTGTTTGGATGTGAGATGGAAACCAGTTGGTTTAGATCAAAAACAGGGATTTTTGAGAAAAATTGAAGTGTTGCAGTATTAGGCGTAATTTCTTTTTATAGAGGTAATTTAGTTCAATTCACTGGGGCCTATTAATAACACCGTTTTCTTGAACAATGAGAGCCTGCAATTTAACGATTTATTTAACGAAAGACAATTGAAATTTCTTCGGAGAAATGAGATATGCTTACCTGTAACTGATGTCATCACTTTCTGTCTCAACCAATATATACTATTTTATTCCCATTATCATTCATAACGTGTAACGATTGTAATTTCAATGACATCCTATTCATTGTTTTGTTTCTTTACTGGAGAGGGCAAGGGGTGGGAAGTGAACAAGTTATTGAACACGGTCATTTCATGTCTTTAGTTTTCACGCGTATCAGTAATGTGGTTGATACACAAGAATGAACGACTCCCGAGGTTTGCTCAGTTTGTATGGCTCCTGGAGTCAGATTCTGATACTTTCTTACACCAGCTTAGAACCAGCTTATGAACCAGCTTAGAGAGAGCGAGAGAGATTGCAAAAACCAGAGTGCGAGCGAGCGAGCGAGCGAGAGCGAGAGAGAGAGAGAGAGAGAGAGAGAGAGAGAGAGAGAGAGAGAGAGAGAGCAAGAGGGAGGGGAGAGGGAGGTGGAGAGAGCGCGCGACATACAGACATAAATTAAGTTTCCTTTCGACATAGAGCAGTCAGGTACCAATAGGGTCAGTAACAGCGTTGAGTGTCGGTCTCTTCCATCCGGGAAGAGGCCTACTAACCTTTCGGAAAACTGGAATGCCGATCTGATTAGCGGGGATTCAACTCGAGTGCGCTCACACTCTGTTAATTTTGGATCATTGAATCCCATTCAAAGCCCAGCCCGCGAGCCGGTCTCAGCGGCATCAACCCCTCAGTAACAAGAGTAGAGAGTGAGAGATTAGCAAACCCGGTAGTCGCAACTAGAGGCCGAGGCAGCAACACTCCGTGGCGCGTGCGCAGGAGATGCTGCGCGAGCGCATGCCGCTCTACTCCATCCGCTACCGCGAGACCATCCACTCGGAGTCGGTGCGCAAGCGGCGGCGCGAGATGCTGGGCAAGAAGCGCGAGGTGGTGCGCAACACGGCCATCGCGCAGCTCGAGCAGCTGCGCCGCGCGCGCATGGAGAAGAACTACAAGGTGAGCACTGCCGACTACAAGGTATGAATAGGATGTACAAAGGGCGCAATGGGCGACTGCAACGCGGGAATGGAAAAGAATTACGAGATGCGCCCTGGTGATTGACAACTACAAGGTACGAATTGGAAAAACAAAGTGAGAAATGTGTGACTGCAGGGGGGGGGAATGGAGAAGAATTACGAGATGAGCCCTGGTGATTGACAACTACAAGGTACGAATTGGAAAAACAAAGTGAGAAATGTGTGACTGCAAGGGGGGAATGGAGAAGAATTACGAGATGAGCCCTGGTGTTTGACAACTACAAGGTACGAATTGGAACTACAAAGTGAGCAATGTGTGACTGCAACTCAGGAATGAAGAAGAATTATGAGGTGAGTCCTTGAGATAGATAACTACAAGGTACGAATTGATAAGAACTACAAAGTGCGCACTGTGTGCTTGCATGGCAGTAGTGGAGAAGAATTGTGAGGGTGGCCTCTAGAGCTTGGCAACTACCAGATAGGAATTAAAAAGAGCTGCAAAGAGGGAATTTTGTGCCTGCAAGGCAGGAATGGAGAAACATTATGTGGTGAACCCTGCAGATAGACAACTACAAAGTAGGAATTGCTAAAAACTACAAGGGAGCACTGGGCGTTTCTAAGGCTGGAATGGGTACGAATTATAATACGAACACTATAACTAGGAAAATATAATGTAGAAATCACTATGAACTTCAATGTGCGCATTGTGTTGCTGGAATGGGAAAGAATTATGAGGTGAGCTCCGGAGCTTGACGACTACCGTATAGAAATTCCCATTCCGTTGAACTTCTTCCATACCTCGGAGTGCTGCTAAAACAATCTAGTTAGGCAATAGCTTTTCTTATCAGCCTCAATTGTTTGAAGAATTCACTCTCATTTCACTGCTGCCTAATTCCTTATTCCTTATAATGTGCTTCTCTTTCCACAGAACTTCTTCCACACGCTGGAGCGCTGCTACGAGTACCTCGTGGGGCAGTCGGAGCACGTGATGCCGATGAAGAGGAGCTTCCAGGAGGCGCTGTACAACCTGGCGGGCATCGGCTACCTGGACATCAAGACGCTGCGCAAGGACGACTCGGAGGAGCGGCGCATGCTGCAGGCGCAGATGATCATGTCGGTGGTGACGCCGCACGGCCACGCCATCGACGCCGTGCTCGCCGGCACCGTGCTGCCCTGCGTCGACATCAAGTGAGCCTCCCCGCCAGCAGTCGTGACGTTTGCGCTTAAGAAATATATAGTGCTAATAGCAGAAGTCGCAAGAAATTGATATGCTCCCTCCCACTCCCTCTGTCTCTCTCTTCTCTCCATCTCTCTCCTTCTGTATCTCTCCCCCTGTATCTCTCCCTGTGTATCTCTGCCTCTGTCTCTCTCCTCCTCAGTCTGCCTCTGTGTCTCTGTCTCTCTCTGCCTTCGTCTGTACTCGTCTGCCTCCGTCTGTCTCTGTCTACCTTTGCCTACTCTCTCTCTCTCTCTCTCTCTGCCCCCTCTCTTGCTCTCGCCGCCCGTCCTGTTCTCCTCGGACCTTACTCTGTGTCCCACGGCAACTCCCAGCAACAATAAAGCCCAGGTGGATTGGAAAAAGCATTTAACTGATCAGCGATCTTGTGCTGACGCGCCATTTATTGGTGCTACTGAAATTTTCATTCATTTACTGAAATTTTCATTCATTCAAGCAATTTGTTTCCTATTACCTCAATATTATCTAATCAGCAGAACTACTGGAAAACGTGATCAAAATGCATTATGAGACAATATTTGTATCCACAAAAATAGCAAAAAAAACTTTGAAAACCGTTGTTTCAGTGTCATTATGAATGGCATATCTGCAATCTGTAAATTTTCATAAGCAAAACTTCAATAGATTTTGAGAATTAGACACAAATATTCAACTATTGCTGGGATACAGCATTGTATATCCACTTAAAACATTCGGTTCATTAGAACGGACCTGAGTATCAAACAGTGAAATATAATTTTGATTGGTACATAAAATTGCATTGGACATTAAATTAAGTTTTTACGTCGAACATTATTTACAATAAATTGGATCGTCAGTTCACTGTGACAGATTTTACTTTGACTAATTTCACTATTGAAATCTTATTTGACTAGCGCAGTGTTAACCCAAAATCATTTGCGGCAGGGTAGAATAAGGTAATATGCTGTCCATTAGGTGGCCTTGACTGAATAGTGCATGTCTACTACCACGAACTGCGCCTGCAGGGCCAGAACATGCACCTGAGTATCAAGTAGTTGAATCTAATCTTGGGTCTGAAACATCGCCTTCCGTTCGCCCCGCAGGAAGCGCCTGGTGGTGGACGAGCAGCGGCTGCAGGGCTCGGACATGCACCTGAGTATCAAATAGTTGAGCTAAACATCGCTTCCGTTGTCGCGCAGGAACGCACTGGCGCTGGACCGGCAGCACTGCAGGCCTCGGACATTGCACCTAGTATAAATAGTTGAGTCTGAAACATCGCCTTCCGTTTGTTCGCACAGGAAGCGCCTGGCGAGTGGACGAGCAGCCTCAAGGGCTCGGACATGCACCTGAGGTATCAATAGTTAGCCTATCTCGGTGCCTGAAACATCGCCTTCCGTTGTCGCGCAGGAAGCGCACTGGCGGTGGGACGAAGCAGTCGCCTGCAGAGGCCGCGACATGCACCTGGATTCAAATATTGAGTCTGAAACATCGCCTTTGACCGTTGTTCGCGCAGGAACGCCTGGGCGTGTGGACGAGCAGCCGGCTCGCAGGGCTCGGACAATGCACCTGAGATACAAATATTGAGTCTGAAACATCGCCTCCGTTTTCGCAGCAGGACAGCGCCTGCGGTGGACGACGCAGCGCTCAAGGGCTCGGACATGCCACCTGAGTATTCAAATAGTTTGAGTCTGAAACATCGCCTTCCGTTTGTCGCGCAGGAAGCGCCTGGCGGTGGTCGGTCAGTCGCCTGCGGAGCTCGGACATCACCTGAGATCAATAGTTGATCTGAAACATCGCCATTCCGTTTGTCGCGCAGAAGCGCCGGCGTGTTGCGGCAGCGCCTGCAGGGCTCGGACTGCACCTCGAGATCAAAATAGTGAGTGTCGAAGCAATTCGCCTCTTCGTGGTTTGTTCCGAGCACAGTGAAGTCCCCTGCGGTGGAGCGAGCAAAGCGCCTGCAGGGGCGTTGGGGGCTCGGAACAATGCAACAAGAGTATCATAATAGTTGAGGCCTAATTTGGCCGAACTCGCCTTCCGTGGTCGCGCAGGAAGCGCCTGGCGGTGGACGAGCAGCGCCTGCAGGGCTCGGACATGCACCTGGAGCGCGCGTGGATCTTCGCGGACATGTGCTTCGAGAACTGCCTGGGGCGGCGCTTCGACATGGTGCGCTTCTACGGGCGCAAGTGCATCGCCGAGGCGCGCTTCGTGGAGCACTGGGCGTGGTGCATCAACGCGCTCATGTACATCGCCAAGTCGGAGATGATCCAGCACAACAAGCTCGAGGCCCTGCACGCGCTGCAGGAGGCCACGGACTTCGCCAACAGGCTCAAGAACGAGGACGTGCTCGAGCTGTTGGAAGTGGTGAGCGTGCATGTCGGCGTTCGTTTTCCGGGATAGTCTCTGGTTCGCGTCACGACGGTGGGCTACTCTCGGAACTAGGCAACATGGCAATTCAGCTACACTGGAGCAGAATTATTGAGTCCGACTGCTCTGATCGTTAGTTTTACGTGGTTTCTGCTATCAGTACACGTGGAATACGTTATCAAAAGGGGCCAAATGGACCACGTGAGACCTTTTTTCTCGTCTTTGACAGCTGCTCCCGTTTACACACACACATATTTACTCATACCCGTACATGCATTACACTACCAAACGTGCCTGTAGTCTAGTCTGGAGCCTAGATTTTGAACAGGCTGGGACGGTGTCTCGCTGGCGGAGGAACCCTGAGGGGAAATTAGCAAGCCGACGTGTAGGTCGGCCCCGGATCTTGCGTTCTATTAGGAGACCAACATCGCAATCTCCTGGTGTATATCACTGCACGGATAGTGGAACAAGCCAGATTTATCACTGCTACCAAGATAGGTTTATTTAGGTTTCCAAATGTGCTTTTTATATGTCGTCTCACAAAACATTGAAAATCCTGTTGTCCTCAGTGTAAATTTACGGCTCTGGAGACCTAAATGGTGATCAGGGACGCAAAATCCGGGGGCCGGGAGTTCCGAGTTGAGTGAGGGCGAGGGCGAAGTGTACTGCAGAGTAACGTGTGATGAAAGTTGTATGCGATTCTTTCCATATATCATAATGTGCAAACTATTTTGTTTCATTTTAAATCAGATTGTTACAGGACTGACCTTCCTAGTAATTTCCTTCCTAGAAGTAAACACTTGTAGATATTACGTCAATTTTGTCCAATCAACTATGCAAAACTATTCCATTTCGTTGGAACATTACAGCGGGTAAATGATTCCCCTTGAAAAAAATCACCACCGTTTTCCCCTCAGTTCAATAAATAAATATTTGTAATACCATGTGGCTGAGAAACCCTTTGTTCATTCACAATCGTTTCTTGACGGTTTCTCGTCTTAACTAACACAGAAGGTGTTGTTAAGGTCAGTAGTCAGTCGAAGATCTTACGTATTACCGAAGAAAAACATCTTTCATTTTACATAGAAAACATAAATTTGGGAATCGACGGAATTGAGATACAAATAACGACAGCGACGTACCGCTCATCGATCGCGCGCGATTTTATATTCACAAACCGAGCCCAGCAGTCCGTCTTTAGATTTGCAGTGCACTCGCTAACCACAAACTGCACTAACAACCTCCCGCATCTACAACCGCGATTCGTGGCTTAAAAACGCGCATTACGTTGCGGTGGTATGTGGGCGCCGAAATAGAAAATTTAAGGTAACACTGTATGCATTGCCTTTGAAAATAGATTGCGAGAGCGCCGTTGCGTTGCTTGCGCGCAGTGCATGCAGGCGGTGCGCGAGGCGCAGGCGGAGGCGCCGCTGAGCGCGCGCGAGGCGCGCGAGAAGAAGATCATGGAGCGCATGGTGGGCGAGGAGATGCTGGACCAGGCGCAGGTGCTCATGTACTGCATCGCGGACCGCGAGCGCGCGCGCAACGCGCAGCTCAAGAAGAAGCAGGCGCAGGAGCTGCGCGCCGCCAGGAAGGCCAAGGCCGAGATGGAGAAGCGCGAGACCGAGAGCGGCTAGCGCAAGACAGCCGGCCGGACGGGAGGGACAGGCGACTCCCGCCGACTCCTTCCGTCACAGAGTAGAATATATGGAAAGGAGGGAGATTTCACCATTCCACATGCAGGAGGACGAAGTCGTGTGAGAAGGAGAATGGAAAAGGTGGTATGGAGAAGCACCAACTCGACAAGAGACTGACAACTCCGTCCTAAGACGTTACATGACAGAGTAGACTATATGGAAGGCTGGGAGATTTCGCCATTCCACATGCAGGAGGGCGAAGTCGTCGTGTTTGAAGGAGAATGAAAAAGGAGGCATGGAGAAGGACCAACTCGACAAGAGGCCGTGAGAACAAAGAGAAGAACGAGAGCATAAGGAGAGGAGGACACCTCCGTCCAAAGACGTTCCATGAAAGTGTCGAATATATGCAAAGGAGGAAGATTTCACCATTCCACAAGGAGGACGAAGTCGTCGTGTGAAAAGGAGAATGAAAAAGAAGGTATGGAGAAGTACCAACTCGACAAGAGGCCATGAGAACAAGAGAAGAACGAGAGATAAAGGAGAGGAGTAAAACTCCGTCCAAAGATGTTCCATGAAAGTAGAGTGTAAGGAAAGGAGAACGATTTCCCCATTCCACAAGGAGGAGGACGAAGTCGTCGTGTGAGAAGGAGAATGTAAAAGGGGGTATGGAGGTTCAAGGAGGTTAGGACGAGTGATGAAACAGGGGAGGGCAACTTCGTCCAAAGAAAATAACTCCTACTCTTCATACAAGGAATAGAAAGGAGCACAAAAGGATCGCTGAATTCTATGGACGTTGATTATTATGTAATACGACACACACTACCATCAAATATTTCTTAATGTGTCCACGCTTTCACGCGAGTTGCGAGTGATTTCAATGTGGGAAATTTGAATTTAATCTCATCTATCAAATAATTCTTTATTTTTATCCCACCAATCTATTAGGCCTTGCCATTTTTGCCAAACAATCATGTTGATTAAGTATATACACTTACAATTTAATAAAATAACTTTATGGTTTATTTATATTTGTATTTATTGAATAAACAGTTTTTTCATATAAAGTGCCTCAATGGATCTATAATTATTCAATATATCAAATAAGCCAATGGGTACCTGTTTTGTCTAGTTTTAAGTGCCAGAGTAATGTTTTTGTATAAGGAGGTAATAAAAAGTCAGAGTAACGTATTTTACGGGGAGAAAAATATTCTTATGTGGTTTAGTGTGTTCATATTTGAAAAAAAATTAGCGTAGTAGTCAATGAAACGTCCAAAACGTTACAACAGTAATGATGTTGCAAATGAGTAGAGTAGTAATGAAAAAATGAGTAGAGTTTCATTTAAGTTGGTCATATTACCAGATTGTTTATGTGAGCTTTGAAATACAAAATTCTATATTTTGATGATTAATAGTATGTGTCTTGTGACTTTTAAATTAGAAAAAATAAAAAAAAGTAACCACTTTACGCGTTTGTGATATAAAAGTTACGCACTTCTACAACACAAACGCAAGTGAGCCTTGGTATTGCGACCGAATAATGCTTCGAAACGTTGGCTATAAAAGAGTAATAATAATAAATATGAAATGGGCAAAATGACTTTCGTCATTCCTTAACCATTCCCCTAAGTGATACTTTG